GAAACAGCCCAAATGCCCAAAAATAGATGACTGGATCATCAAGATGTACATATACACAATGGAATATTACTCAGCAATCAAAAAAGATAAACACATGCAATTTGCAGCAACGTGGATGTAGCCAGACTGGTTCATGCTCAGTGAAATAAGCCAGAAAGAAAAAGAAAAATTCCAGGTGGTCTCACTCATAGCAGGAAATTAGAAAACTTAAATAAGGGAGCAGGAAAAAGACTAATTATAATAAAGTAGAAATACCCCTATTCTTGAGTAGAACAAACTCACCCCCAGGGGCCCAAGAGACATTGCCTGAAGCTAATGGCCTTCAACACACATTCGTTTGAAGTGCCTCACTTTGAGATTTGAGGTGACTTTTGCTTTTTATGCGTTTATTGATTTCAACATAAAAATATTTCTTTTTACCGGTTATGCTAAATTATAGCATCCAATTAAATTATATAAGTTATTGTATTATCATTTAATATTAGGTGTCATTATCCATATTGCATATCATTATAATCTAAAGCTCCCATCTTATTTTCCTGGAGCTGCCCTGAATTTCGAGTTCCCATGGATTCCCTAGTTTAGGAAACGTTGCCTTCCCTCAGAAGGAGAAAAACATGAATATTCTACCGAGCAGTGTGAACATCGGGAAGGGGACTTTCAACAAATCTTCAAATCAAAATTCATAGAAAGGTAAATAAAAATAAAAAAGGAAAAGACTTCCACAATGCAGATATTTTGAATGGAGGAATCATTGAATAAATGCATATTTAATAATGCAGTAAATGAAGTATTTCTTAATATATGCTTAGTTGGTATTATTCACCAGTCTTCATCTTCCCTTCCCGGTGTGACGCTGACACTGAGTGGAAAATAGTCCCCAGGCTTTTGCCATAACTCACGAGCTCAGACACTGCAGGCAAACCTTTGTTGTTTTCCTCTGCTGTGGTCTTATGACTGTTTCTTGATTCATCTGTTTCATCATTCAGTTCCCTGCTCGCTCCCCTCCCTTCTTTCCTGCTTTTTCCACTTCTGAATTTCTTGGAGCTCTGCTAACAGGTCTCTTCTGGCAGTGACCCCAGCCTGTGTGTCTGTTTGTCAGCAGATCCTTGTCTGCTTTTCTCCCTGTGTTGCAGAGACAGCAGGTTGCGTGCTCTTTGTTCACTGCTCCTGTTTGCATGTGAGAGATTTCTTTTCTTTTTGAACCCCTGGTTTGAGGCTGCATGGCTTGACTCGGGGCCTGCGGTCTCCAGGTGCTTCCTAGCAGCACCTCAAGGGGGCGACTCTACTTTGGAGCGGGTGGGGTGGTAGGGAGACAGGAGCTCGCTCTCTTCAGTAGTCGATGGTCAGAATTCTCTCTCTGTCTCCCTGTAACTTGGTCCAACTTTCACTTGATCGCTCTTCTTTGCATCTGAAGATTCCAGTTTATGGGCATCTCCTGGTTTAGCCAAAGGCGGTGTTCCTTTTGTGTTTTCATTCTTCCTGTTATTTTTCATCGGTCTCTAAAATACCTGAAGAGCAGATAAATGAATGTGGACATTTTGCAGCAGTCTTGAACTTGTCTGCTACCGTCGTCCTTGCTCTTTCATTGTCTACTCTTCACAGCCTGTTCATTCAAAAGCACAGAGGAGAACAGGAGGCTTTGTTGCTTCAGCTGCGAGCTGCACTGGGCTTGGAAGCTACATCACAAGCACTTTGAAATGGTCCCTCCGGTCCCATGCGAAGCAGCCCCTGCCTTTTAAATCTCTAGTCCTTTATGCCTTTAACACCAAACTAGTTGTATAGCTAATAACACACGGACTTTCCTGTCTGTGCTTCTTTTCTTATCTCCATTTCTACCTGGCTTTCTCCTTTCTTACCTAATGAACTTCTACGTATCCTTCAAAGCCCAGCTCAGATGGTGCTTGCTTTAAAGCCTTTTCACTCCTTTCAGACAGAATTGGTCCTCTTGCTCTCTAATGCTGTCTCTTTACTTCATACAAGTTGTGATCGTTCCCTTTCCTACTATAATGCAGTCATAGGTTTACATATTTTTCCTCTTTACAAGTTATTTAAATTGACATCTTGTCCGTCTTGAGAGCCTCACTACTTGACACAGAACCTGGTACTTCAAAGGGTCTTGACTAATAATTGTTTTTCAGGCACGAGTCAACATGTGAGATTCAAACTTGATCAATAGTAATAGAGCAGGAGGAAGACATGGGAGAGAGTATTAAATAGGACTGAGTTTTGTCTTTGTTTTTTCACTTTGCTGAATTTGAACAAAAATGTACATAAAAGTGAAAAAATACCCAAGCAAAGCAAAATAAAATCTAAATAGTTTATAGACCATACCAAAAGGTGAGTGACAAGGAAAGTAGTGAGGAGAACTCTAAATCCTGGAGTATTTGAATCCTAGTGAGAGTTTACATCATGAGAGCTGATGCCATTTCTAAGATCAAGCGCCTGTAGAGGAGAAATAAACAGCCCAGGACAAAACCACAAGTCTTTTGGGTGCAGTGGGAAGAATAAGTGAACTTTTGTACATTCCTCAGTTTTCAGGTTGAGGAAGATTATCTCCTCCTGGGACTCAACCTCCATTTTTAAAATAATGATTTATGTTGCTGATTTCATGATATTTCTTCTTTCCTGAGCTAAGTTCTATAAAACTTTTTATGCCCATTTCCAGCAATAATGGATGATGTGCCTGTCTCCGTAGTATAATTTAGTGGTTTGTTATAGTGAAAGGTGAAATACTGAGTGAGGATTGAAATACTCCATATGTCTTTAAAATTCCACAAATCCAGGCGTGTGGGAGACATTCAGCACAGACACTCAACATGACTAATCCTTCGAAAACACCCTGAAATCGATCGTCCTTCCCAACCGTCTGAATGCAGCCCCTTGGGGCTTTAACAGAGCCATCTGGAATTTGTCAGGTTTAATATTAGTGCTTTGCTTTTACAGAAAGGCAGCAAAGACCCGGCTTCTCAAGCCCGCCACCTGAGACATTTAGTTGTCCAATGGCTCGGATTTTTCTTTGTTCCTCTAGTTCTATGAAAACAGAATTGTAAACGATCCAGACATGTTTTTGCTTACTTTCCATCAGAAAACACCAGGTGTGAAGATGTTTCCTTGCTGTTGACTCTTGTTTTTCTTCATGGTTTAGGTAGCTTAAGAAATTATCTCCTTTTATGTCAAATATGTTTCACTTTAGATGTGCCTTCCAACCCCATTTCACCTCTATTCAATGCCTTCTCCCCCTTAGTTTTACCTAGCAGCGAGGCAGATGTGGATGCCTCTGTGGTTGCGTCATTAGAGGTCTTTTGGCTCTGAGATGCCCACTTTGTCACCAATCTGGAGTGTCAGGCTCATCTTCTAGACTCTCCCTTCCCAGCTGATTAAAGAGCTGGCCACCGTCCCTTGTAGGTACTTTGAAGGTGATATGATGCCTTCTGGGTCTTCATCTGGACACCGACGTGGTAATGCTAGATTAATTCAGTTCAACAAATTTTAATCAGGAGGCCATTCTGTTTTAGAAATATACAGAGGTGGTTTTCAGGAGCTCGCAGTCGAGTGGGGCAGAGTGATATCGGGGAACTGCAGGGAGAGGCTGAATCTGCTCCACCTGGAGTGGCAAGTGGAGTTTGTCAGGCAGCTGAGTCTGCAGTGATGAATCAGGCACATAGTAGGTTCTCTCTACTGCTCCCTGTGTCCATCTCCCAGACAACAAATTTCTCCCTATAAATTTTGAGGCCCTCTGTTTTCATATGCGGAAGTCCGCTTGAAGTCCCATAGGTTGAAATGATTATATACTTTGCCACTAATGCAGGTCCAGGGCCTTCTCCATTTTGCTGCCGGTCTTTATACTTTACTGTTCACTCACATAATAGACAAAATAATGCTGATCTGTAGATAAAGTAAAGCAGTGTCATGTATCCTAAAATAGCTAAAATTTTCAGTGACCACTATGTGTCCCTAAATCATCATGCCCCCCCATATTTGTCATCGTTTCTCACAAAAATCAGTTATGTTTATGGTTAACTTTCTTACCACACCTTGGCATCTGCTTTGGCCATTTCCCTGTGTGGACTCCAGCGAGCTGACTGCCCCAAGGAGAGACTCCCACTAACTCATCTCCTGCATTTCCCTTCACAATTCTACCACCTCTGTATACAGTATAATGTGTTGCTTTCTCCCCAGAATGAGTTGGTAGTCAAGGCTGTATCTTTCAAGCTTGAGGGTGTTCATCTGTAATTTGTATTATTCAAAGTAACTCAATTAGCGGTCAGCTGAGGAAGAAAAAAAATAACTTTTATTACAAAAGGGGCCTCAGGACTTCTCTGTTGGTATATTACTGCCATAATTAGAGCAGAACCCCAAATGATAGGCAGAAGTCATCAATCTATAAAAATTCTGAGGGGCCCCAATCATTGCCCTTTTGCCTCATTGTGGTTCTTGCATATTTAGAGACATGAGTTCAGCATATGGAAAACTTGTGTCATGCTCACTAAATTCCACAAAGAGTGGACCCTAAAGACAGTAACGATATGGGTATGTTCTATTTCGTCTGTCTCCGTTTTTTTTTTTTTACTACCCATGCCAATTTCTTTTTACCTAGAACACTCAATCCAGTGATTATTTATATGCCTGGCATTTTCTCTAGAGATATCCCCCCTTGGGGACTCAGTGACATCCCAGGAAATTATCTAGTACTACATTTATACAAGTTCCCTTCTTGTGTGGTTCATCCAGACTTAACTAAGTTTGCAGCAGCCCTGGGACACCATACAGTAGACTGACATTTTAGTAACCCCTAACACCTTACCTATGCAGGTAAGCTTTGGGAGTTATTGAATGAAATATACCCAGCAACCAGCACATCAATTACACCATCTACCATGTTGCATTTACTAACTGAATTTTGGGGGTATAACTTCTATGAGAATATTCTTGATTATTGTTGTGCTTATATCATAATCATTTACAGAAGATTTATCATGCTTATTATCTCATTTTAGGTCACCAGTCTCTTCAGAAGATCACGGTAAGAATCTGTCTTACTTATACTAATTCAAAATGAAAAGTTCAGCACTGTTCCTTGCATTTCACTGTCAGAGGGAAGACTTACTTAAGAAAATGTTTCTAAGATGTTAATCTTATATTTTTTCATGTAAAATATCAAGACTTTTGAAGACTGAATTCATCCCAGCTAAGTTTGACATGTCTTCAAATCTATTACGACCATTTTGGTGGACAAATGTTACAAAGCTAAATGTCCTCTGTGTGATTTCTGTCCCATCACCAGCCATGTTCAGTGGCTTTGGGCTAACAAGCCATATAAGTTCCCTGAATCACAGATTTTTGTCTTTAAATGGGGGTTGGTAGTAGGTTGTCTCCACGGCCCCATCCAGACTGGACACTGAAATTTCCAAAGATGTTTTGAGCCTGAAGTGATGCTCATTGGTTGGTGGTGTGATGCTTGGCCAGCCGAGTTGATTGCTTGCATTTAATAGAGAACTATTTCAATTCAAATGGTATAATTTTGTCACATCTAAGTTTTGGAATTATTTATTTATATTCAATCTGTCATTCAAAAATGTCCATTAAATGTCTAAAATGGGTCAATTGTGCAATTTAATTATGTTATGTAAATATGCTATATGAGGTTATAGGCAGACACGATGTGACATGTGACAGAATTTTTCCCATCTTTATGTGTCTAGTGTGTGTGTGGGGAGGGCATGTGGAATGGCAGGCATCCTACAATGCAAAGCGAAGAGTCACTAATCTTGTCAAAGAGGAATAAGCCAGGACTAAGAACACTATTGGCATTCCTCTTCATGCAGTCCTACATTAGCCAAGGGTGCAGCTATCCATGCAGCCAGCTGAGGAAAAACCAGGACAACTGCTTTAAGCTATCTTCTTCATCTCCTTGCTTCCATCTGGTCATTAAATCCCACCACTGTGTTTTTTAAATTTTTTGTTTCTATTTTTCTTCCATCCCCAATACTTTAGGGCCTCTCCATGTCTTACTTCAACTTTTGAAATTGGCTATAACTGGTAACTATGCATGAAGATTTCTTTCTAGCTCACTATATACATAGACAGCACTAAACTGATACTTATATAGTAAAAGTCTACTCCCATTGTCTATTGGATGAAATCTCTTTTTTTGGTCAGTGCAATAAAGAAAAAATTCTAAACAGAATTCCAATATTGTATTTTCATTTGGAATAGAAAGTCCAAAATGATGGATTCTCTTATTGCTTCTTAGGACAGTTTTTTCCTTCTATCCATGCTCTGTACTTTAGCCATGAGACACTACATCTTATATGTGTTTTCTTGCTTTTGTCCATACTGTTCTTCTGACAGAAGGCTACTCTGCCTTTTGCCGTTAGACAGTTTATACTTGCGTATGAGGCCTTGTTGACTGTCTCCTGTTGTCTGAGAGCTGTCTCACCCAGGTATCATGACAACACATGTTTTCTCCATTCCGGAATTTAACACTCAAACTTGACACTTGATTTATGTGTCTCCCCTGCCACACTGTGAGTTCTATACTATAGATGCCAACAAATGGCAGACATTCAAAAGGTGTTTAATAAATGAATGAAGGGGTTGGAGAAGGAGCTTTCGGCAGGACTGGTCTGTGGCTACATCATTAAACTCGGTTCTGATATTGTAGTGAATTTGTGTCATATTTATAAGAATAACAAGGCAGATTGTATTCCGACCCAGTGAGAATCTGGCAATCAACCAGCTAATGATGATTCATTATTTTATGCTATTTGTTCGTTGGTGTTGCTATGACTAGGTTTTGTATTGTATAATTAGATGTTCTTGAGCTTCTGAATTCAAATGATAAACTGGAAACTTGTGTTTTGTTTTTTTTTTTGAGCTAGGGTTCTCCTTAGTGACCTTGTTTTACTTTTGTCTTTCCCCTTGCAAAGGTGGGAATTTTGAGTTGCAATTCTATAGTCTGGTAAGAAATTTTAAGGGGTTGTGAACTGTCAGTGAACATTTGTTGGTATCCTGTGCAGTCCTAAAAGGTGACTGTCATCAGAAAGACTTGCTCAGTATTAGCAACACCTTACAACTGATTGTTCTAAGAACTGGTGTATGTGATTAGATGAAGAAACAGGAGCCAAATTAAAAGTCTTTTATATTATCATGACTTAAAAATTACATATTTATTCCTCTTATTTTGATTCTACCACTTATTTGATTCATATAATTTATATGTAACATAAATTATAATTCTGATAAACCTAAACCTTTCTAACTTTCATCATCTTTAGCCCATATATCCTTGGAAAAATATTCTTATCATTCTCTTTATAACAAAGACTTTCTACCTGACATTCTTAATGTTTTCTTGGGTTTGTACATTTTGAGACTTAATATTTAGTGTGGTTAGCATAAAGCTCAAATATTACATCACCAGGTTTACATTTGTGCTCAATAATGACTTTGAAATGTAGCTGTCAGAAAAGCCAGAAGTAGCATTTTCACTTTCTCAAATGTCCTGGTGAACTCACGGCAGCACAGAGGGCCAATGGATCGTGAAATTGGAGTGGAAGGCCCCATGCCTCTTGATTTTCTATTTTGTTTTCTATTTTACTTTCCTCACTTTGCTCCCTTGGTCTCCAAAATAGACTTTATTCTTGGAAAACTCTAATTTTCCAAGGCCCAGTCACCCTGGCACTCTCACCCCCACACGGATTTCCCTTTCATAGAAAATATACTTGAATATTGTGCCTCTGTCATTTACCCTCTTCAGTTTCAGTTTCCTTCTCTGTAAAATTGGGCTCATTTTCTCTCCCTTGCCTAACGCACGGGATTGTTGTGCTGTCAGCTAAGGAAATCACCTGTGAAATCTCTTTCCAATTTAAAAGTTAAAAGTTCCTGGGCCTCCCTGGTGGCGCAAGGGGTTAAATCTCAGCACTGTGAAGCTATCCCCAGCCACTGCAGTATGAGTTCAATGCTGCGGCAGGGAGCTACCCACATGGCACAGCAGACCTCTTCTGTCTCCCTGCTGCTCCCCTCAGCAGCGTGTTTCAGTAGATTCACCTGTTTTGCTCCCTACTCTGTCTCTGGTGAATCCTCTCACTCTCCTGTACCTCTGATTGGCACCCCAGTTCTTGTATGCATAAATAAATAAAAGTTAAAAGTTCCCTAAACCAAAACGCTGCATTGTCCAGGAAGCAGATGGACGAGTGTATGTTTCCAGAACCATGTGTGCTCCCTAGACCCGCTGCCTTTGAAAAGTTCCTAGATGCGATGGGGTGGGGTGGCGTGGAGATCTGTGCCTTCCCCATTATCATTAAAAATTAAAATTTCATCAGAAACCTTTTTATATCTGGGTGAGGAGGAGTAAAAAGGTCAGCACACAAATTAGCTTGTGGTTCCCTTCCTGATTAGCTGTGTGGTCACATCGAGTGGATGATACAAGACCGGCGTGGAATGTAAACTGTTCCCATTTATATAACAGAATGTGGGAGTCATCAGGAATAAAAGCTAAAACCTATCGATGCCTGTTAAGCAGAGACCCTGTGCTAAAGTGAGTGCTTCATCTACTTGATTGCGCTTCATCTTCCACACTAACCCTGCACCGTAGATGTTTTACCCTTAATTTTTATAGTCGGGGAAACAGGCTAGAGCCTTGAGTAACTTGCTTGTGATCACACATCTAGTAAGCAGTAGAGCTAATTTCCAGATCGATTCTCGCCCCAGCTCTTGCTCATTTATCCCTATCCCCAGGAAACAAAAGAATCGCTTGTCAGCATTAAGGCCAATGGATAGAATTATGGAGAAAAAAATATTTTCCTCCTAACAAGAGTTTATTTACTACTGTGTAAGTAATTTCTATTAAATGACAAACCAGAAGAAAAAAATAACAACTTCTCCCTCCTGCTGGGAATGATTTGTCCCTGTAGAAAAAAGCAAATACCGATGTCACATTCTCTCATAATTAGTTAAGTGAGTGAACCCGGAGCTTCAGGGAAGCCCGCCATGCTCAGTCCCAGTGGAAGCATTACATTTTTACGTTCCATCTGGACGCTGGAGCCCACTCCTGTCAGGAGATAAGCCTGGCAGTGATGGATTGCCCGGGCCTCGCGTTTCCTCTGAGTCAGGACCTATCACTTCATCATTTCAACTCTCCGGTGCCGGGGCCTCGCCTGCGCGGAGCCGGCAGATTCGCTTCTGGCATCTTAGCTGTTTCTTCGACGGCCTCTCGGAACAGCTGTCACTTTGCGGGTGCGCGGGTGAGGGGTGCGCCGGCCAGTGCCCGGTCACTTCCAGAGGGGACACCCAGCACCTCTTGAGGGGCAGCCAGTGCCCTCTTCTCCCTTCTGACTCCCCCACTTGCACAATTCCAGCTCCCCCATGGGGTGCGCAGCTTTTTGTTGCACCAAGTTACTGCTGTGGACAAGGGCGGGAGCAGGGTGGGGGCTCACGGGGGAGCCCACGTGGGCTGCAGGCTGTTTCCAGCACAGCTGGCTGTGCAAGGAACGGTGCAGAGGGGAGGCCAAGGGGTGGTTGGGGGGAGGCTGAGGGCAGGCCAGGGGGAAGCTGGGGGCAGGCCAGGGGCAGGCCGGGGTTGGGGGGCAGAGGCCAGGGCAGGCTCAGGGGAGGCCGGCACTGGCAGGCAGCAGGGGCTGCTCCTGGCTCACAACCTAGATGCATTTTTCTCTCTGACATAAATGTATGGATCTATATGTAATTTTCCTGGAAAGGATGATAATAGATAATATTCATTAAAGTGTATGCAATTTGTTGGCTCAGTTTAAATAATAACAGCAGGAGCTGCTGTGAATCTAGCCCCTTGACAGAAATACATAGCATTTGTAGTAACCCACAGCTCCTGGCTGGCCTTTTGTTCCTTCAGAGGGAACCACTGTTTTCTGCACTTTCGTTAAGCTTTTCCTTGTGTTTGTTTATCCTTTTACCAGCTAAGGGCATATCAGCCTGTGACTGCGCGTGTGCACGCGTGGACACAGCCCACAGAGATGCACATGTGTGGGCATAGCTGTCTCCCTTTTC